GCAAGCATACTTCGGCCTTTAGAGGGACAGTTCAACACATTAAAGGGACGGTTCGACACATTAAAGGTTAGCTTAGCTTTAGCGATCTTGAGTCGGTGAAGGTACCGGTAGTATTCGCGGTCCTGCGCTCACAAATGATGTATCACATTATAATCGGTTCTGCACATGGTCAGCAGAGACGTGAAGAAAGCAAAATGGCTAACTCTTTGTTTAATTTATTGATTTAAAACCAGTTTTATTATCTTCTGGATGCCGTCTGATGAGGTTAATGATTTATAAATAATATGTTACTGTAAATGTGGGACCCCAAACAGACCTGGTCCACATATACCGGACTAGTTCTTGGCAGTCCAGGAACTTCTATGTGACTTCTCCCATTAAGAGAACCTCGTCTAACAGTCTGTGATACTTTAAACAATATCAACATGTTTACCTTTATTACATTAAACAATAAAAGTTCTTGAATATTAAAGCTGCTGAATTATAAGTTAAATCTGAAATTATCTGAATAAAGAAAATGTGAAAAACTGAGTAAATTCTATTTGACACTTAATCTGTATTATGGAGACATTTCAGTTTGTACACAGCTGATTGATGATAATAATCTTATATATAATTTAACATATAATCTGTGTGCAGAGCGCCTGCTGAAGATGTCTCTGGAGGAGCTCAGGGAGTTCCTGCAGGAGCGGATCGCTCAAACTTTCTTCTACAGTGACGACATCATCGTCGAGCAGCTTCAGGCCTCCATGACCGAACTGAGGAAGATGAAGCTGGACCTTCCTCCTCCAGGTACACAGCTGCACCGAAACACTGACAGACAACACGGACTCACCTGAGTTTACATCAATACTACAACCTCCATATGAACTGAGGACAAACAGTCTATGAAACCGTGATCAGAGCGCTGTTAGCTTCCTCATATTTACGTGTTAGGGAAATTTTAAGAAATCTAAATCAACTTCTTTCCCCTTTGTTTTCAGGGAAACCCGACGAGTTGCCCCGTAAGCCTCTGGGTCAGGAGCTGCCGGTGCTGTTGAGTCCAGTCCAGCCCTCCAGAGGGAAGTCGTCCTCGGCCAGCGGGTTCCCTAGACCCGGCCTGAGCCTCCACATCATCTCCCACCAGCCTGACTCCATATCCCCAGACCAGAGCCCCTCCAAGGACCCGAGGGACCTCGAGGCTGTGGACGAGGAGGAGGCCCCGCTGCCTTCCCCGGACCCTGTCATCATCCACAGCGAGGCTCCACTCACCCCCGACAGCTCCCCGCTCACGGGCCCTCCGCCTTACCGCCCCCCGGGGAGTCAAGCAGTGGACCGCCCCTCGCCACCGGATCAGCCCTCCATAGACGACTCCTCTGCCGCCACCACCGAGCAGTCCTCCTGCACGGCCCCACGGACTCTTTCGGCGCCCGTAGCCCAGGTGGCGTCACCGGCTTCGGGTCTGGCTCAGTTGGAGAGTCTGTCTGCGGCAGAGAGGGCCGAGGACCACTACCTGGTCCAGCTGCTGGAGCAGGCCTCGGCTCTGGGCACCGACAGGAACCTGAACCAGGACTCTAGTGAAGCGTCGGAGGAAACACGGGACCCTGAAACCTCGTGAAGCTCAGATTTATTGATTATGTGCCCTCTCTGTTTGTTATTATTGGATTATGTGTGTGTGGAGTTGGCTCTGAACTACACGAGTGCGATTGATCGGTCAGATTATCGATGTCAAGCAATAATTGCTTATAAATATGTTTCAGTTTCAGTTTGGTAATTTTAAAAAGTTAGTCAAACGTCCTCCTTTGTTTAAAAGTTTGGGTGTTTTCCACACAGGGAGGGTCTAAAGAGTTGCATTATGGGAAGTGTAGTGTTTTTAGAGCTTGGCCCACATAGAGGACTAAAATTTGGTCATTCTGTTTTTAATCGGTCTCTCACAAACTATTTGAATGTGGCTTCAATTGCAGAGAAATTCCAAATATTATTATTGAAGAAAATGAAAAGGACATCTTTTATTATCTAATTGACCCTTCCTAAACCCCGCCCCTTTTGCTCTGGGCTCCAATCACAGTTGAGCTAGCCTCAGTCAACTTCCTCCTTTCCTGTATTTAGATATGCTACGTGCTAGGTTAATCCATGTTGAAAAGACAACCACGTTTTGAAGATGGTTAAAAGATAAAAGAGACGTATATTTAAGGATTAAAGGTCATTTACAACGTAGGATTGTCGAAATAAATTCTGATTAAAGTTTCCTTTAAAAACTAAGTAATAATTGTAATAATAACAAATAATAAAAAGTTATCTAAGTTAGCTAAAAAACTGTCACTAACAATTGATGAAATTAGCTTGCTAGTTATCTAGTATTTTGTCAAAATTAGCTTTCTGATGTAAATAATGTTATATAGCAAATGATTGATTAGATTAGTTGGTTGGTTAGTGTTAGTGTAACATTATATAGCTAACTTGTACTACAGATATGTCACTTTTACCTTTTAACTATCGTCACAGTTTGGTTCTTTTCAACAGGAAAGGAGGAAGTTAAGAGGTAAAGTCTGAGGAAGGGTCGCTTACTTTAACCAAATAATAATAATAATAATAATTAAAACAGTCTGTGCAGAGTAAATGTAGCTCGGTCATTAGCTTCCACTGCAGCTGTGTGTCTGTAGAGATATCACTGTTGTAAACTTCCTCTCAGACAGACAGACAGACAGACAGTCAGACAGACAGACAGTCAGACAGACAGTTAGACAGACAGTCAGACAGACAGACAGTCAGACAGACAGTTAGACAGACAGACAGTCAGACAGACAGTCAGTCAGTCAGTCAGTCAGACAGACACAAACTGGGAGAGGAGGACGTCTCCGAGGCATCACCCTTTACAATAAAAGGATTTTTTTTTGTAGTTTTGTAACGTTTTCGTCGGAGAACAAAATGTTGCTCAGTCCTTTGGCCTTTGTAAAATGTTTGCTAGCAGAGTCAGTTTTATTTTTTGTACCAATGTCTCGATGCCTTATTTGGATCTGCTTCAGTTCTTCTGTGGACGTTGTTGTTGATGTGTCGGACACAACAACAGAGGACTAAAAGCCGCCTGCGGTTGTTGGACTGAACACGAAGCCTCTGACATGGTGAGCTGGCTCACTGTTATGATTGTACACATTGAAACATATTGAGCTCATTTTAAATAAGTGGTTTTCTAGCTCAGTAATTTATTGTTTTATTCTCCTTTAGAAAGGCATCCGGGTCATTTAATAGCCACCATACTTTTTCAAGAACTGGAATATTCGCTGCATTTCGCTGGAACTCCTTGAACGGTGAAAATAGTCTTTTGTTTTTATTCATCTCATGGAGGAAAATCTGGATCCTATGGAAGCTCATTTCTGCCAATGTGACGGAAAAAGAAAGGATTATGTAACTCAATATGATGAGAAACATTCTCAATATAATGAGAAACATTCTCAATATAATGAGAAACCTTCTCAATATAATGACTTTTATCACAAAATAATGACTTTTATCACAAAATAATGACTTTTATCACAAATTAATGAGAAACTTTCTCAAAATAATGTCTTTTATCACAAAATAATGAGAAACTTTCTCAATATAATGACTTTTATCTCAAAATAATGAGAAACTTTCTCAAAATAATGACTTAGTATCTTAAAATAATGACTTTGTGAGTTTGATATAATAAGTAACGACGTACAGAATCAGTTTTTATTCCCGTCATATTGGCATTAATGGTCTTCCGTAGATTTTTGTTTTGTTTAGAAATGTACAGTACTGTAGAACCAGTAAGAGTTTAGTTTTCCCGTCTGAGGGTTAAGGCCTCCGCACACCAACCCGGACGGGGCCGGACCGGGTCGGGCAGAAAAAGCCAAAGGGCTCGGAGCTGATCAGTCGGCTCCCGGTCTCTCGGAGCGGTCAAAAAAAATGGCCTCCGGAACACACCAAAACCGACGCCCAACTGGAGCGTACTTTTCTGCGGCATGCGCGCAGGCGTAATACGTTCCCCATAAACAGCAAGCGGGGCGCTAATCTTGTGTTGGCTCCCCAAAAAAATGAAAACCGTAATGACGATCACCTAGACCTAGTAAACACAGAGCACGCTGTCGTCAGTCATTGCTTTTCATCAGAGAGGTTGATTAGTAGTCAACAAGGATCGGTTATTGGGTCATTACTCGCTGAAACGGAAAATACGTGGCTAATAATAACAAGATTACTGGCGTTGTTTACCCATCGTCACTTCCGGTTTTCTTGTGGCACCTCACTGATTCGCCTTTAGTCAAGGACTAACACTCCACCAGTGAATCGGCAAAATGAAGGCCGGGACGCCGACGCCGGGACTGACGACGGCACGGGACACACCGAACACTCGAGCCACTGACTCGCCTGACTCTCCGGACGGGGCGTCCCGACTCCGGGTTGGTGTGGCGGAGGCCTTTAGAAGAATATTTCCTTAGCTGAAAAAGGTTGACATCTAGTTGGTTTGCTTTAGGTTACGCATGGTCTCCTATCTAGATCTCGCCCAGAGGGGGAGTGGAATGTTTACAAGCTGCAGCCCAATCAATCGATTAGTTGCTCTTTATGATCAATTAATTCATTTTGGAGCTTCTCAAATGTGAATATTGTCTGGTTTTGTTTTAGTTCGGTTCTGTGACAGTAAACTGAATATCGTTTTAGGGCTTTTGGGAGACAACTTATTCACCACTTTCAGGACATTTTTTTGGATCAAACAAACTAATCGACTTAATTTAGAAAATGTCAGAAACGGCATTATTGATCAAAGCTGCAGCCCTGAATGTTGTAGAATAGTTTCAAACATTCTAGAAATTAATCCAAATAACAACAAATCAAGACTAGGAAATATTTTCAAATCTGCAAATTTAATGCCGTTATATATTGACTGACGTGTCTGGCTTTTTATGGGACATTTGACTGGCATTAGTGGGCTTAAACTCAACAATGTTTTCAGTAATTGTGATTTCAGCATGAGCCGCAGCTTTTCTCCAAGTAAAGTTACAGCTAAAGGTAAAGTTCAGTAAAGTTGCATAAAGTAACAGTAAAGTTACGGTAAGTTACAGTTAGACACGACATTGGGGTCGAGCACTTCAGGTGTTAATTTCAGAATTTGTTATGTTACATTGAAGCACCTTTTGTGGTTGGATGAAAAACTTGGACGGAGCTGAAACAACTAACAACGTTTATCTTCCTCGATACTTTTCTGTGTTCGTGTTTTTCTCTGTCTGGGGTTGGAGAAAGTTGAGTGTGTCTGATTATCTGAACAGTTTAAGTTATTCTGGACATGATTGCTGCAAAATTAAATCAAGTTTTATTAGTCAGTTCGGCCTGCCTAACTCAGAATGAGTCCAAACAAATTTAGAATTAATTCTTTATTTTTGATCAATAAAAATACAAAATAATCTAGAAAATAGATCATTTAACAGCTGAAATATAAAACACAAACAGTGGAACAATGATAATTTTTGGTCAATAATAATTTACTTTATTATTCATATATATTAAGGAAATATAAATATAAACAGTGTATAATATATATTCAGCACCTGGTGACAATTAGTGGGTCAGTGATTAATGGAACTGTATATTAACTTAAATAGGAAACAAGAAAAATCAATTAATACATCCTTCTAGGAGTACTCTTTATTTTGAAAATCCTACCCATTTCTCACTGCTGTAGTTTCACCCTCAGTAAACTGCTGCTGTCTAGTCGGTCAGCTGACCACAGGGGGGCGCTGGGAGGCAGCGATAAACTCACCTTTCTTATTACTGGACTCTGGATCTATTGGTCCTCGTGCGTAAACGCTCCTCCCTTTGCATTCTGGTAAGTTGTGGTGCACCGCAGACAGGTCTGTGCAGCCTTCACACTGGATGGAAAGTTGTGTTCAATGGGAAACGTCTCGGCCTCTGTTTCCACTGGTGCGTAAACCTCCTCCACATGATGTCCAGCAGACGTTTGTAGTTGAAACCCTGGAGGACCCTGAAGCCCTGGATTGGGCATGTGGCCGCGGGACCCCTGCTCCGCTCCCTCAGCCTGTCCTCCTCCGGGCAGGTCTCAGCGCCACACCAGCACCCCTTCACCCGGAGCTCCTGGCGCGGCACACCGGCTCTCTGCTGCAGCAGGAACGGCAAGGGCTGGGGACACGGTGAGCACCCTGCGGAGGACGCGGGCGGACATTCCTGGCCCAAGTGCCCCATGCCTCCCGAGCCTGGAGAAACTACCCCTGGACCGAAGCAGGAGGCTGCGGGGAAGTCGTTGCGGTAAAGTGTCCGGTTCGGATGCGCGTCGTTCAGCGGAGAGGCCGCTAGCAGCGGCTGTGCGCTCTGCTCCGGAGGCTTTGGTGCGCATCTCCCGGAGGACGCGCGGCTGTGAGCGGAGCTCCCACGGGCGGTGCACGCGCCTGGAGGTGCAGAGCGCGCGAGGCTCGTGCTGAGCTGGGTCTGGCCCGAGCAGTGCGTCCCTCCTCCGCGGTGCGCGCGGTTGTTCCCTGCAACTGCTGAGCTCCGGGAGGACCACCGCGCGCCAGCGGAGCAAGTCGCCGCTGCGGGGCTCGCGCTCTCCGTGGGGCGCTTCTTCCGGTGGATGGTGGAGACCGCGCGTGTCGGTGCCGCGTGCACGATACGCCGCAGTGTGTTGACGGCTGTGCGTGAGAGTCTGGTGGAGGGAGGGGTCGGACCGGCCGCTGCAGGACGGTGAGGCTGACCGGAGGGAGGAGGAGCAGCAGCGGGGCGGAGGACTCACCGGCGGCCCGGTGACCGCGGAGCTGCTGGAGGGAACCGTGAACAACGACGCGGAGCTGTGGGGAATCCTGCAGACCTGCGAACACCTCATCTGTGGTAAAAATGCCAATGGTGAGTTCAGGTACCTCACGACACACACTTACTTGTACCTCATAAAACCTTTTTTTAAAACAAAGTAAAAGTTAAAATAATAAATAAAAACATTATATTGGTTCCACTGGTTGTCAAACTAATAATATTATGACTAATAACAGGACAGATTATTAATCTGTTTCCAGCTTCTTGAGTCTGAGAGGACTTTCTGTTTTATATCATTTTAAATTAAACATTTAAACACATCATATAAAGAATCTGCCTCCTGATTCTGGGAAATTAAAGTTATATTTTCTTAATTTTGTCTCATTTAATTAGTTAAAAGTTAGTTGAAGCCTTATATTTTCTATATTTTCTCTTATTTTGTAGAAAAATTGACCTGATTTTACAACTTGCATGTAAATTAAACATTGTGTCGCCTGTTGAGTAACTTTATTCTGATTTAGTTTGATTTGATTTCAGTATATTTGTTTTACATGTAATATCTGTCTTCTTTTACCTGTAGACATAATGTAATGTTGATTTCCAGAGGAAAGAGGACTTTAGATGTAAAGAAACTTCACACTGACATTGTGTGAAACGTTCACAGTCCGTCACACAAACACATGTTTCTGTTTTCCCGTGTGACAGGAGAAACTTTTTGTTGCTGTTCTTCAACTACAACTTCTTACCTCTTCATCCTCCTGTCAGATAATATTATATAATATATAATAATGTAATAATAACTGATGTTGGAGAGAAAAGTGTGAAACATGAAACACTCGAACAACTTCCTTTTAAACAATATAAAATCAGTAATAATATAAATCATCATACTACATGAGGCTCTACCAGTGCACCAGGGGCTTATGGGATATATCTTCATACAGCATTGCTTCCCAACATGTAATATCATTAATAAACTGACATTTTCTATGGATATTTCATATTATATTAAAAACTGAACAATGAACCCAAACAGTGAACTCAGTAACTGCAGGAAGTTTGTGTAAAAGAAGTGATTTGGATGAATTCTGAGCTGATTATTTCCTGTTTAAGGAACTTGTTATATAATTATCTGTCTGTATTCTGTATTTTATGAACAACAACAACAACAATCAGACTTAATAGGCTTCCTTTTTGACAAATTTAGTGTTTTCTTCTCCCTGATGCTTGACCATTGTTCTATTAGACAATTTACATAGGCTTTTCTTCACAAGTGAACCAAATGCTGAGGTATAGGCCTGTTTCAAGGAAGCCTTAAAATCAAGATGGCCTCGCGACCCCCTGTGAAGCTTTGGCGACCTATAGTGGGGGTCCCGACCCTCATGCTGGCTGGTGAACAGAATTTAGCAGCTAAAGAGACAGATATATTCCTCAGGAGCTTGTAGAGGCCAAACACTGTTGAAGTATGTTTATTCAGTGATACTTTGTGGTCGTATCAGCTGCAGTGGACCTGATATTATTAGCACTGTTTCTATAATAATAGTAAGATCGGCTGTATTCTTTGTTCTGTTTGGCATTAGTAGTCCAGCTTCTCCCTGTGGACTAAAATGAAACTGGGTCAAAGTCAAAGTCCAAACAGTTAAAGCAAACACACACCCACACACACCCACACACACACACCCACACACACACACACTCAGTGTTGGCAGGCTGTCAGACATCAGCTCTGTTTATGTGAATAAAGAGCTGCTGCAGAAGAATTTACCCTCGAGAGCACACACTTACTCACAAAAATGTATTATGTATTACTTGTTTTATGTGTTACTCTGCAACATCGCCTGAAATCACATAATATGAACTGCATTTAATAAATCATAAATAGAATAAAATAACATAAATAATAAAACTTTATCTTGAGAAAAAGATAATAAACATTAAAAACATTCCCATCAGCCTCAGCTGTACGGTGTGTTTGGTGCTATATATATTGCGTGTTAAATCATTAAATATACCGACTGTTCACACTGGAGTTTTATTCAAACATACGTATTCTTTGTATCACACGACTGCATCGATCACAGCGCTGTGCAGACTGATCACATCGTTACGGTCCGAGCTGTAAATCAATGTTTCTTCTCACACCCACAGGCAAAATAACGTAAAAAAGGGGACGAGAGGAGCACTAAAGGCTAATCTTTGTGTTCACGTTTGATTAAAAGAAGAATAAAGAATGAAGGTAAATATTAATGTCACAGATGGAGCGGGCAGTATTCGCGGCTACCTTCAGATATTTTACTGAGGAGGCGACTGCGAGTGAATAAATACGTACAGTCGATAGAAAGGTTGCTGCGTTGGCTGCAGGGTTTGAACGCAGCCTAAGATGGGGAACATACTGAACATTATACTTGCTAAACATTAGCATGCTAGCTTGACATTTAGCTCACACCACCAACATTTTAAGGCTACATAAAAAAAACTATTGTTGGACAGATCAAATAACACTAATGATTTATCAGTTTTTTAATGTTTTCCGGAGGTTGGTGCCAGAGGAAAGGTCACTGGGACATTAAATCTGATGAATTCGTCCTCTGGAGAGATGTGATCTGACTCTGGTTGGTGGGCTTTGAGATTTGTTGTGGAAACTTTGACCTAATGGTGACAACTGGGTGTATCACGGAGGGACCAGGTTCTTCACAATCTTGACCAGTTAATGTTGAGATATTTGTTGAGTCGTGGCCTCAGATGGAGGTTGATAAGTCCATGGATTAATCAGTATCACGGTAACATGTAATTTATTCAGTCACTAGTTTCTCTCCTGTGTTGAGCAGGAATTTTCTCCCTCATTACCAGCCTGTGTGGACTCAGTGGGATGTTCCTCCTCCTCGCTTTCTCTCTCCTGTTAGAAGCCGGACTGCAGAGCGTCACCTCTCATTTGTCTCGGGGAAACAATGGCACAGTTATATAATCACATTCTTCGCATACTTTCACAAAAAATAGGTTTTAACGAGACAAATTTTCACCCTTTTTACTTCAGTCAGTCACTGATTGTTCGTCTGTTTGTTACACCGGGAGCTGACCAGTACAACCAGTCAGGCAGCGCTCTGAACCTCTGACACAGTGGCCCCAACCCCCAGGTTGAGTTATTCTGGGGGGTCGTGACTTTAAAACGTTGAGAAGAGCTTTAACTCTTCAGAGAGCATTCATCATTTAGCTCATAGACCTGAATGGACCTGAGGACTAGACTCAACCTGGGCTCTCTTACTACAGAGTACGCCAAGTTCAAACTTGTTTCCTCTATAGTTGGAAGTTGTGGAGTTGAGTCTAAACTCCAGAGAATGGGAGGATGCAATGTGCAACATGTTTCCACACTGACTGGCTCACAGGGTGGTTTCACAAAATACTGTTAGGTTAGGTTATTTTCAGACCAAAGATTCATTATGAGATGAAACAGTTTCAGAACGACATGGCAGTGTCAACTGGTTGTCTCAGCTCGACTCAAGTCAGTTGGTCAAGTTAAAAACAGCTGAAGTCAAAAGTGTTGGGTGGGGGAAAGAGAAGAGCACCTACAGGGGCGTTTCCAGACTTTTTTGACTGGTGTGGCACTGACGTATGCAGGGGTGGCATCAAGTATGTCTCTGAGCTTCCAGTCATTCCCAGTACTGTTTATGGATGTGATGTACGAATGGACGAATATTCAGATAGAATCTGTGAAGAAAACAAAATTAAATTGTTTGCTTAGAACGCACGATTGTTAAAATACACAATTGCATAAAAACATCCTAAAACCATCAGAAAACCGACCTCAGCTGTAATATTTACAGCAGGGGTCTCAAACTCAAAATGTCTTGGGGTCACTCCTGGTATTGTCATCTGATAGAAGAAGCTCAATATTCTAAAAAATATTTAATTACTAACATCTACATCTTTCTTTATAAAGCCCTGAAACCTGCTCTGGAGCCAAAAAACACATATTTTTAAAACAGAATTGTGTTTAACAACTACAAATCTAACTAAAATGCAAGGAGCCATGATAAGGTGGAACTCT